AAACATCGAACATTCTTCCTCCGCGCCGTTTAACCCAGGTGTCTGCACCCAATAATCAATATTTTTATCATGACAACAGTTTTTACATGCGAGATGAACTTCGGATGCTAAGCCCCTACCTCCCACTCAGTGTTCTATGCAAGTGGCCAGTCCTGCTCCCTGAGCGAATTAATCGATGGTTCCTTCACGCGGAGACTTACGAGGTGTATGCAATTCAGTAGAATTGCCAGTTAGAAGAACGCTTATTCTTGCCACTTCCTTCGGTATAGCTGACCCGCTTAAGCAATAATCTCGTTAAAGATGGCTTCATGATTGCAATACATTGCGTGGATTTGCTAGGGTCTGTTAAATGTAAATAAAAAGGTCTTTAAATGCTCTGAGTCTCCCTTCTTGCTAGCTCAACTGAAAAGAAGAAGAACCGGTTTCTGGAACGATAACTTTATTCTTCTGACTTATTTCACTCCCACTTGACTGTATTATTGGATGCAAAAATGGATAAGAAGGATCGATGCCAATAAACAACACTAGCTAGGAAGATGCCGCGAGTGATGACTTGGATGCGGTTGGACAACTTACCATGGCAACACGTACCACCGCCTATGATGAACTGGGTTAGCTGCTAATTTTGAACTGATGGCATAATGACTACAGTCTATAAATAGTGCCACTATAGCGTGGCACCGTGACAGAGTTCGACTATACCATTCAGACTTTGCGGAACGACTGAAACGAAATATTGATCGACTATGTTACAGGGGATTCGAACTGCACAGAAGTGCCTATCTGTTCGGGTTCCCACGCATAAAAAAACTATCCTAAAATCCTTTAAAATATATTTATGGTGAGCACATAACAATGTTCACGAGCACAGAAACAAACATGTAAATGCACCATTAAATTACAGACAAAGACAAGAGAGGCTACAATGGCTATTCTGGCTTTTTACCTGTCGCCAGTCAGCCATGCCTAAATTGCCAGTGTAAGTATAGCCAAACGCCACCTATGGAATGGTGAGCTCTTGGCCCAATGGTTAGGTCCTTGTCTTCTAACCAAAGTTACAAAATCTGAGGTTCGGTATGGCTGACTGATGAGGTCTTACAAGGCGGAAGTGGTCATTCCAGTCTCCCTTGTATTTTGTCGCTAATGCCATCCCGTCTGTAGTACAAGTCACTGTGTGGCCGTTTATGGAGCTGAAGATCAAACCCGAACACACAACGGGAAACGCATGTCTTGTACCGCGATCGGAAGTGCCTCAAAGGCAAAGAATACTTGCTGTGGATGTCAGGCTTACTAGTCAACGTCAGCCAGCCATGCCCGACTCTGTGCTTTGAATACCTAGGGATACGAACCTATCTACGTTCTTCCTTGAGCGTCGAACCTAACAATCTACCATTGAAAATTGCCTCTTGCCCAACGATCGTCGGTACTCCCGATCAAAACGACCCGTGGCCCAATAGCAGAACGTTGGATTTGATTGTCAATGACCAAAATATCAACTTTCGAACCTCGTGTTATATATGCATATACCCTAATGACAATGTTCCGGAACCAAAGGAGAGAGTGGTTCCAGTGAAACAATGGTCCCACTTTCGTTCCACTTTAGTTCCACTTTGGTCCCACTGGGCCGTGATTGCGTATATGGGCGGTATTCCGTGCACTGGCCGGGGTAGTCTACAAGCTGTCATCGAAATCGATGGTCGACCACCCACGCAATAAACTACCTATTTCCCAAAGGATGCCTTTCCATGAAATTGCATTTCTTGGGATGCTTGCCTTTCGGTTTATACGAAGGTTGCCTTTATCTTTATTAAACCCTGATTTGCGTCCACTCAAGCCCGCAACCTGAGGAATTCAAACACTCCATGTGACGAGTGACTTGAGGCCAGTCCTGTCGCACGTCACGTTAAAAAGCGGTTGAATGCACGAGAACACCATTGGTGTAAATCCAGCATTACTGCTAATAAAAAAACCCAGAATCCTCTATGTAAGTTTTGTTTTAGCTCTGATGCACACGCGAGCACATCCAGGTGAGCTTTAAATTACCATATTTTGGGTGTTCAGTCGCAAGAATTTCTGCATAACATTTGGATGGGGCACCAACCGATTGTCCTGTTCTGTCTTGGGCCTCATTCTTGATTC